GAGAGGGGAGTGAACGAGAAAGAGAGAGGGGGGGGAGTGAACGAGAAGAAGAGAGAGGGGAGAGAGAGATGAGGAGGGAAAGAGAGAGAGAGAAGAGAAGGGGGATTGACACAGACTCACATTCCTCAGCTAAACTTAGAAATCTCGCGTTTCTCCTCGCTGACCACCACCTCTGCCTCCTCCTCGTCTGCCCCCCCCTCCACCAACTCTCTCTTCCCTCTCTCCCTCCTTTTCCTCCTCTCTCTCCCTCCTCCCCCCCCCCCTCTCTCTCTCTCTCTCTCTCTCTCTCTCTCTCTCTCTCCTCTCTCTCTCTCTCTCTCTCTCTCTCTCTCTCTCTCTTCTCTCTCTCTCCTCTCTCTCTCTCTCCCTCTCCCTCTCCCTCTCTCTCTCTCTCCTCTCCCTCTCCCTCTCCCTCTCCCTCTCCCTCTCCCTCTCTCTCCTCTCTCTCTCTCTCCCTCCCGCCCTCTCCCTCTCATCTCTCAGTCTCACCCTCTCTCTCTCTCTCTCTCTCTCATCTCTCTCTCTCTCTCTCACTCTCTCTCTCTCTCTCTCTCTCTCTCTCTCTCTCTCTCTCTCTCTCTCTCTCTCTCTCTCTCTCTTCTCTCTCTCTCTCTCTCTCCTCTCTCTCTCTCTCCTCTCTCCTCCTCCTCTCCTCTCTCTCTCTCTCTCTCCCTCTCCCTCTCCTCTCTCCTCTCTCTCTTCCCCTCCACCCCCCCTCTCTCTCTCTCTCTCTCTCTCTCTCTCTCTCTCTCTCTCTCTCTCTCTCTCTCTCTCTCTCTCTCTCTCTCTCTCTCTCTCTCTCTCTCTCCCTCCCCCTTTCTCCCTTCCCTCCATCCATCCCTTCCTCTTTTCTCCGTTTCTCCCTCTTTCCTTACCCTTCTCTCCTCTTCAACCCTCTTCTGTTTTTCTCTTGTTCTCTTTCACACACCACTCTTAATCTTTTCCTTTCTCTCATACTTACACTTTTTCTCTCGCTCCTTCACACTTACCCTCACCGTTTATCTCTTATATGTCAGTATTCCCCTCTCTCTCTCCCTCCCCCTTCCCCTCGCTTCACCGCAGCCCCCTCGCCCCTCCCCCTTGTCCCCCGCGGCGCTTGATACACATTCCCGCAGGTGTATTGTCTACAGATGTTTACGTGCACAGATATGCTCGAACCAGGCAGGTCACGTACGTTGTTTTGCGATTGGTGGATTGGCGAATCTCGTGCCCGCGTGACGTCACCGGTTCATCGACCAATGGGATGACCCCGATGTTGCCCTCGTGACGTCACCGATGCGTCTCGGTCTTCCCGCGAGGAGGCCATTGGCGGGGCGATCCGTTGCGTCACATGTTACCTCATGGGCGCCGCCCAATGGCTTGCGCGCGTGCGAGCGGGAGGGGGGCCTGAGGCAGAGGGGCATACGGGAATAGGGGCAGGGATGGGGCACGGGGCACGGGGCAGAGGGGCAGGGAGCCATGTGACGGGCTGACTCGCTCTGCCACCTGTGTGGGGTTAGTTGTTGGTGGTGGCGTGCGCGCGCGTGTGCTAGTGCCTGGTGCCTGCTACACCTGGAGAGCTGCGGACGGCGGGCGGGCGGCGGGCAGGTATCGCGTGCCTGCAAGCACAAACTCACCAGGTGGGTGTGAGGGGAGGGGGAGGGGAGGACAGCGAGGGGCGCGGGGTGCGAGGAGGCTTAGAAAGGAACATTAAATGCACACATGTACAAACACACGCGCGCACACACACGTACAGCCTCCAGAGTGTGTTCGCTTAACCTTGTCCTTATAAGGCTCTTGGATCAACGTGGTTTGTGTTTATATGTCTGATGTCTGTGTCTGTCTGGACTGATGCGTCTTATTGCTATTGTTATTACTATTGCCAGGAAGGTGCGTGTGCGTGCGTCTTGGACGAGGGGGGGGTAGGGGAAGAGGGAGGGGGCGTAACCAAGAAACATCTAGAATATCGTCCACTGCGGAGGCGGAGGCTGGAGGAGGCGAAGCAGGAGATGAGAGAGGCGGAGAATAATGGGTGATTAAGGGAAGGCGAGACAAAATTCAGATCAAGAGAAGGAGAAGAGTAGGAAGTAAAATAATAATCATAATAATAAAGACAAACAGAAATTGGGAAGAAGGAGAGATTTGAAGAATATAAAGAGACGAAGCGAGGTGATTTTTGGAAGGTAAAAATATTTTAGAGAGAGAGAGAGAGAGAGAGAGAGAGAGAGAGAGAGAGAGAGAGAGAGAGAGAGAGAGAGAGAGAGAGAGAGAGAGAGAGAGAGAGAGTGGAAATGAAAATAAGAGAAAGAGACCGAGGAACAAGGAATGCAGAGAAAGAAATGACCCGAAGAATAAGTAGAGAGAGAGAGAGAGAGAGAGAGAGAGAGAGAGTATGAGTGAGTGAGTAAGCGAGCGGGAGAGCGATGAGTAAGGCTAGTGAGATGCCCACGCACACAAAAAAAGATTAACATTGTAAAACCAAAATAAGGGGCCACGGAAAGAAGTGTGACGGCCGAGTGTTACGTCGTGTTACGTCCCGTCTGTGTTACGTCTGTGTGATGTAGGGTTGTTTGTGTTACGTCAGGTTGTTTGTGTTACGTCTGTGTGATGTAGGGTTGTTTGTTTACGTCTGTGTGATGTATGTTACGTGTGATGTAGGGTTGTGGTGTGATGTAGGGTTGTTTGTGTTACGTCTGTTGATGTTAGGTTGTTGTTGTGTTACGTCTGTGTGATGTAGGTTGTTTTGTTACGTCTGTGTGATGTAGGGTTGTTGTGTTACGTCTGTGTGATGTAGGGTTGTGTGTACGTCTGTGTGTTTGTTGTGTTTACGTCTGTGAGATGTAGGTTGTTTGTGTTACGTCTGTGTGATGTGTTTTTGTGTTACGTCTGTGAGATGTAGGGTTGTTTGTGTTACGTCTGTGTGATGTGGGGTTGTCTGTGTTACGTATGTAGGGTTGTTTGTGTTACGTCTGTTGATGTGAGGTTGTTTGTGTTACGTCTGTGTGTGATGTAGGGTTGTTTTGTGTTACGTCTGTGAGATGTAGGGTT